GAAGCTCAGAGGCAACAGCTCACCCAAGAGGTGAGCTCTAAGTCAGCTCAAGCTGTCTCAGAGCTCAACCTTGAAAGCTTATTGAGCAAGACTACAGTAGTCTGAAAATCATGGGGCAGAAACAGCACTCCACAATCCTGGCACCTCCAGAGTGTTCAAAGACCTGCACAGCTGGAGACAAGCTGGACACAGAGAGCTCAGACCTGCTGTCAGGATACACACCTTACCCACACAATTACCCCAGGCCATTCAAAGGCAAGAATGCCAAATCGTTATCATGTTGTCCCAGTCACTCACTGATCTTCCTACACAAACAGTGCCTAAAACTAGAAGTGGGGAAAAAAACTAAAAAGAGACCGCAAGTCATATATTTGCAAATTAGAACTTTTACTCATTAAAAATAAGAAAAGAGTTTCTCTAAACTATTGGTCACAATTAGCCTTGTCAGGCTCAAATTATCTGCCACGACAGTCCTACTTCAACAAGATTGAGTTGCTTCTCATCTAAACTGCTTTGAGCATCTCAGTCCTAACAAATAAACAAGATTTCTTTGCAATTTCCTTTAAATTCTTCAGCTTCAGTCCCAGTTCCCACAACCTATACAAATAACCTTGAACCGGCAGCTGGTACAAGACATCATCTTCTAAATTCTCTAGAAAACTCCGTTCCCCCAGTAACAAACTGCTTTGCACTCTGTCTCAGGCACAGGAGGTCCAGCCTTAACTGTTTGCTTAGCCTTCTTCCTAAATTCAAGTGCAAATGCCCCCTCACACATATTTTCTTAAGAAATGTGGGTCTTTAATATATCTTTGGTAAACCAAGAGAGAATCAAATAATGTCTGTGAAGATACCTGAGAAAACTATAGGCAACTGAGAGGGGAAACAGATTCTCAGTTCATGAAAATGATTTACAGCTTCCTTGAAGGTAGGATACTTCATTGATCTATCTCAGGTTCTGTTTCTTAGAAGTATTTTAAGTGGTAATGCAGTTATTCAGCATTTCTGAATGGGTGTGGATCACTCAGTCAAGCAGGAGAAAGCCAAGGAAGTTCCCCCTCCATATACTTGTTAAGATTAGTGTTTATGTAACACCTCAGGCACGATAAATTACAGTTATTTTGTAATATATAAAGCACATACTGAGCATGTAACTCAATTTTCCTATTTTTATGCTGCTGGGTGTATCCAAAACTGGCTTTTAATGAAATACAGCCTACTTTCACACATATTTTATTTTATTCTGGGAAAGGAAACAAGTGCTACAAATGCTGGTACCACTTTCACCATCCAGGGCCCTGTGTTTCATTTTAGTCTTTAACTATCAGAGAAGGAGTCAGCTTTTCCACATTTTGGTTGGGTTTATAGACCTGAAATGGCCCAAGGCATTTCAGCATCACTGGAGTGGTACAAGATAAGCACCCGTGGAGGGTTCTGTGTGAATTACTGAGGCTTGGAACAGGTGATAACACACAGCAGAGCCATTCTGGAGCAGGATTAGCAAAAGCTTGGCTGATTTAATCACCTTGTTAGAAGGACCCTCCTTCTGAGGTTCTCCTGCTCAGAGGTTTTAGAATTCCTTGAAACTGTAAACTACGCATCCCCATGCTAAAGTTTTAACTTTTTCTGACGTGTAGAACGGCCATCAGTACCTGCTGAAGACGGGTTTGTCACAGGTTTGAATTGGCATTGGCTCATGGAAGCACCTCGCCATTGCTTTTGTAAAGGATACCAGGGCCAGAGAGGAAGAACACTGCAAGATACTGCATGAATGGAAATAAAGACATTCCGAGTTGGTTTTGTTCCGATAAGGACAGCTTTCCATGCACACTGACCTCCAAAACCAGCAGCACACCCAGAGCTGGCACAGAGACAGCAAGCCAAGCTCCCTGGGAAGTGTCTGTTCTGCTCAAAGAGATCTCCCTCCTGCCAGAAGTTACTCCAAACCAAACCGCTTTCAGTTCACTCCCTCCACTTTCTGCCCTTCTCTGGCTGTCAGAGGGTTATTTAGAATAAAGTGCACTAGACATACACACTTTTTCAAACCATCTCCAAGGTCAGATTTTCCTTGTTCATCTTCCATTCTGCTTTGCAAACATTCCTGTATCTTCCCAAAACACAGGAATTTTTTTTTTCAAATGCTCATTGCTGAAATCCCCAAATCAGTTTTCTTCATTGTACACTGTACACTGAAATTAATGGTAGAGTGCTAAGCTTCAAGTCTGACTCGCCTGCCAAAAGATGCAATTAAGATTAAATTCTCCCTGTATCACACATGAAGTTGCAAGCTGAGTTTAGGCCAGCAAGCACATACAAACTCACACAAAACTTGGAGACAAACATCCTCGGGTGTCACCTCAGCAGAGGTGATACCTGGAGGATAAGTAGCAGCAGGAACCACTTACCTACAGAGGGAAGTATTTCACAGGACTTGGATGGAAGATGAGGGGTTCCAAAGCTGGCTCCCTCAAGGGCTACTTCCTTTCTCAGCGGATATGCTGTGAGGGTGCTGTGTTTGTAAACCCTCTGGCACAATCCCCTGAAAGAAGCCCTCCATACCCACCTCCAGAACTGCAGACAAGTTGTGCATGGCATGAGCTGTGTGTTACCAATTCCAAGAGACATCAGATCTCCCTCCATTGTGTTACCAGGATGACCAGTCATGGTTCTGTGTGTTGAAGCCATTTTCCATACCTTTCACAAGACAAGGTTGCTGAACAGCTCACTGAGTTTAGGTCAAAAAGAGAAGCAGCTATTTGCAGACAGAGACATTTACAACTTTACCTTCATCTGCACTTTAAAGACAAGCTAGAAGCAAGAACATCCTCTTCCTTGAAAGTTCTGTCTTCAAAAGGGAGTACTGATCTGTAGCTCCTTCTTGAAACCTGGAGTGAGGCACAAAGCCAGCTGGGTCCCAGCTTGCTCCCAGCATTCTCCAGGGAGCTCATGAGCTCCAGGTGATGCCTTGCTGAGTACAGTGACTGCAGGCAGCTCCCTTCCCAGGACGCCAGGTAACATATCCACACCTCCACAAGATCTTCCTCACTTTCATCTCTTCTATAAATGCACAGGGATATGAACTAAGATGTATATGGCCATGCACATAAATTATCTGCTCCAGAATGAAGCCTGATGCTTTAACACTGTGCTTTGTATCATCACCTGAAGCAAGTAATGCAGTTTCCCTGCCAGGCTGGTACGATTCACAAATGAAGACAAGCACCTACAGTGCTGGGCAAGAGTGTCAGACTTCACAGTATAGAGCAGAGAATGAGCCATCTTACTGTTCCCACACCTTCAGTTGGGTGCATGCACAAAACCAAAGGAATGTGTGGCTGGGGCAGCTTGTGTTTCTCTCCAGGAAGTGCCAGCATGTATTTTTTTAACCATCACTTGATACACTGGTTGTCAGATCTAGTTCCCACTCACCCACTCCATTCTTCTCAGGGAGGTGAGGACAGGCATGTTGACTCAGGTGGGAACAGCTTGAATTTCTGGGACTTTTCTCCCCTTTAGTGAAAGCAAACCATAAAAACCCACATGCCCCTTTGTTAGGCCCAGACAATGAAAAATCTCCTTTAAAGACAATGAAGTCCAGTGTTCCTCTGTCAGTAACGTATTTTCATTGCTTTAAATCACCCAATTATTTCCTCATCCAACCATGACCCCCTGGCAGCAGCACTTGCCTCCTCTGGTCTCTGCTCACCAGAAAACCTCTCCCCACCAGTGTTCCTGGCTCTCTAAAAAGGCAAAGTGGAAAAAACAGTTTCCAGCTGGAAATGTTTTCCACCCTTCTCATATAATTATGGAGAATTTTTCCTAGTTCTTAGCCCTTCAGTAGGTAACTGGAAAGGGCAGTGTTGCCCTCTTCCTGTTTTCTACATGGAGAGAGTTGTTCACTCTGGAAGTGGTTAGCCTGCAGGAGAGATGAGGCTTTTGTTACAGTCTAGCTGTTACTGCCCACTAACATACACCTGGCTCTTCTAAATACCAGACTTGCCATCACTTGCAATTTATATTAGATTGGGATCTAGGCAGCCAAGAAGAGGGGAAAAAAAAGATGGTTAAAACTGGCTTATTTTAAGCTCTGTCATAATACCTTAATAGTGTTTTTAGTCTGTAAGTGAATCACACACTGGATGTAGCTAAAACTGCTAACATCACATTTGAAATTCCATGCCCAGTGCAAGACTACTGCCATAAATAACGGAGGGTTCTGAGAGACCCTGGGGAGCCTGTCTGACATTTTGTCTTCTTGCAGGAGCCCTCTAGAGGAGCAGGTGGTTTGGGGATCCCCAGGTGACCAGCAGGCAGATTGTTCCGGCTTCCCAGAAGCCACGTGCTATCCATCAGTTCCACAGCTCGAGCCAAAGAGGGTGGCTGGGCTGATCTTCCCAGGGTGGATGCTCAGGGAAAATAACATGGTGGGAAATGTCAAATGAGACAATGTAGGAAGAGAGTCTAAAGGTATTCAAGTCTCAACTAAACACATACTAAGAAGGCAAATTGCTGTGGCAGACACTTCCTTGATCCAAAGGCCAGAGTTAGGACTGTTAGAAACTAAGAGTGGTGATGGGGAGAGGTTGCTGCAGCTCTCTCAATAAACCCCTTATGACTTTTCCCCCATAAGCTCTCTCCTCTCACAGGGAAAAGGAACGCTTAACAAGACACAACTGCCTTCACAGGATTCCTGCCCTAGCACTCCTGAGTAGTAGTGCCAGGACCTGAACTTTTTTCCCTACATATATGCCATACAATTTGTTAAGCACTGGCAGACCCAATGCATCCCAAAAGATGGGGGTGCAGAGAGCCAGGCTCTGAGCTGAAGGAACAGCTCCACAGTGGCCCTCTCACCAGCAGGGCAAGAGCCATGGGCTCATTGGAATGAGTAGGGGAGCAGCTCCCTCCCAGCTTTGTCTGCACTGGTGCAAGGCTGGTGCAAATCCCCAGGGTCATGGAGCAAAGATATTTACACTGGTTTCACCAAGGCAAAAACAGGCCAATGACTTCACAGGATTTATTCAAAACAGGAGAAGAAAAAGCTTTCTTTACAGACCTGATGAAACACACCAGTACAGGAGACAGGGAAGGTGTTCTCACCAACATACAAGAGACTGCACAGCTACTACTTCCATCATGCTGCCACAGGAGACCCCTGGAGCAGGAAAAAGCTGCCCTTCTCAGTTCTGCCTGTTTCAGCATGAGAAGCAGAGCACACTCTCCCTCCTCACACCTCATGAATCATGGAAGCAATAAATCTGCTCCCCACCTACTCAGAAAAGCACACAGCAGCCGAGAGATTCCTTCTGGTAGCTTGCAGAAGACTGGAACTCATCTAGAAGCAGCTCTGTGGTATTTGTTACTGGGGACAGGAAGTAATTTGCCAACAATTGCAAAGGTAGAGCAGCAGACAGCTGGAAAGAGGTACTGACTTCCAGTGAGCTCGCCCATGTGTGTGCCTTGGAGCATCTTCCCCAAAACATTTCTGAAATAAGGGTTCTTCTGTACCAAGCCCAACACTGTACTGGAGAAGTAAATGTTCACTAAAATTTATTTTAAATTATTTTTTAAAAAGTAATAAGATTTAAAAGTCTTGCAAGAATCACTGAATCGTGAGTTGCCTCCCTCTTCCTTGGCCAAAAATGTAACCTGAGTGGTTTTAGAAGTCTTACAATTCAGAAGGAAGTTGTCAAGGTAATTTTACAAACTATTTATAAAATGAAATATTTTGGACTAGGAATTTAGCTTATCAGTACACAGCTTGACAGCATTTCCGTAGATCAGTCCTGCTCTGAAGAGCTCCTAGGACTATGGGAACAAATTTTAAATTATTTCTCTTGTTTCCCAATGGACTAGGTTTTTGGCTATCATAACCCTTTTTAAGCAAACCAAACTGTATTCACCATTCAATCCCAACTTGTGCAATCTCTGCTCAGAAAGCCTCTCCTGCATCTCCCACACACCATCATGGGCTGAGAGGCAGACAGAGGTATCCACCCACTGCATGAGCCTGGCTCCACTGAGAGTGAATTTATTGCAGTGACTCATGCAGATATGGGGTGGATGTACCACAGTGAGTTAACACCACCTCACAGAGCTGGTCAACGAAGTCCTAAGAGCAAGCGCTGCTACATGGAAGAGCTGTCAAAACACACCAGTGCTTAGACCTAACAAATCTGACAACCCTGATTTAAAAAGTGCTTTGACAGTCAAGGAGAACTAAACACCAATCCATTAGCAACGCACTTTTCGGAAGCCGGGCAGAGTGGCTTTCCCATGAGTATAGATGTCCTCGTCTGTGCCCTGGTTCATGTGCTTCACCAGGTTCTTCTCGAAGAGCAGAGGATGGTAAGCTCCCATGGTGCAGGCATGGTCATGAAACTTCTGGTAATAGTGGCAAATGTCCGTCTGCCGCTTGGAAGGGAGGAATTCGTACACGTCCACCTCATCACAGAGCGTCATCATGATCACAATGCCTGGGGAGGGATGGAAGGCAGACAGCCCATATCAGCCCAGAGAACCAATTAAACACTCGAGCAAGACAGGCAGGCAGCAAGGAGCATCCAGCTCCAAGAGGAAGGGTTTCCTTTTGGGACATTCAGAGTAGAGGGGGAGGAAACAAATCTGGCCAGATCAGGGATATCTTCTGAAGCTCCCCCTTGCAAAGTGTGCGATTGATGTGATCACAGCGGATTGTTTACAGTGACAGACCTGCTAAAAGGCCAATTTTTAAGAGTGCTACCATTCTCACTTGGGTGTCTGCCAAGCATGTACTACACTTAGCTGCTTGAATAAGCAGGGATGAGATTTTCGTCTTTTCCCCACCTGCCTCCAGTGAATGCAGGGAATATGAATGGGACTGGTGCTGGGATATGCTCAGGGAGACCTCAGCAGCCTTTGCTCCTCAGGATCCCCGCAGCAGAGTGGTGCTGCCCTCCTGTGTCTTCTGACAGGCACAGGAACTACTCGAGGACATCACACTGGGCACAGCCTGAAGACTTTTCGGCCAGATCAGACGTAAGCCATAGTTACTGGCTGCTTTTCTTCTAAGTGCAAGAATATACCAGGGAATCACAACCAGTGTACAACATCACAGAAATTCACGCAGTATCTGAGATATCAAGGACTCTGCACAATCAGAGGAATACGGATTGCAAGACATTAAAAGAACCCATATGTGAAACCACTCATTTACCTAAGGCACATTTTAAACGCAATTTCAACCACTTTTTCAAATTACAACTTTCAATGACACTTAGACCTTTCAGAGAAGCTAGAGTTGGAAACTAGAACTCATCTATGCCCCTGAATTTGGCGAGGTGATTTGCTTTACAAAGCAGGTAACTTGGCCCCAAGTTAAGCCATAGAGAAATTGCTGTCCGATGTGGCCTGGTGCCTGCTAACAATTTTGTTGCTGAAGTCATCAATTATGCTGTTACACAGTTATTCTGCACATATCCCAGCAATCATTTAATAGCTGCTGGACCTGGCAAAAATATGAAGTAACTCTGTTTACATGGAAGTTTACAGAAAGGTGCCTCTGCCCCAGCAGTGATGGGAGCAGAGACAGGAGCAGACGAAGGGTGGAAGCACAGCAGCTGGACATTCCATGGCAAACAAGACTATAGGTCCTGTGTGATTTCATATACACATGAGCTTTCCCAGAGGTTCACTCCTTTTTATTCATCTGGTCATGAGATCTGCTTTCCACTAAGTAGGAAAACCTTTGCAACAGCAGAATGTAAAATGAGCTCCTTTGCTGAGAGGCAGAATTTAGCATGCTGACAAGCAAGAAGTTAGCATGCTGCATAAGGGGGAACATCACTGAACTTTTCAGGGCAACTATTTAGTCTGACCATCCCCAGCCCCTCAGTAAGTCATTTATATATATATATATATATATATATATATATATATAATATATGGAAAGGATGGACAGGCTAGCACTCAGAATTCATCTGCAGTAACCAGAGTTATTTGCCTGACAAGATCTGAGCCTGCAGGAACCATATCCTTCCTCTTACACTCCATGGGAACTGCTCTGGCACCAGAAGCTAGAAATCCTAGAGATCCTCCCAATGTTGCAATCTGCCCTCCTGTTTCCATATGGAACTGGGCTGTGTTTGTAACTGCTGTTTCAGAGGAGTGCTGCAAACCACTTACTGTAGTGCAACTGAGCTGCTACTTTAGAGACAGGAAGCTTAAATTTTGGCATAAGACAAACACTGTAAAAACAACTCTGATAAGCACCATAGATTTGTAGTTGTCTTTGTAAAAAGGCATCCTGGAGAGTTCCTGCCTGCAAACTGAACCAGAAGTTTAGAGGGTGATTATCTTACCAAGCATTCCTGATGACGGTGGATTAGGCTGAATATGCTCCAGGGAATTCTCCTGCAGAATATCCCAGAGTTGCCACTGCATTTTTGGATTCAGGATATAGAAGGGCTGCTCTGGATGTGTTCTACGATACGCCTTATAGCTTTCAAAAAAGTTGTAGTCTGGTTTTCTGTACCACTGCAAAACAGAAACAAGAAGTCAGACTATTTCTGGCCCATTTTCCTGTAACCAACAGGAAACAAGGATGAGTGAACCTGCTGATGCTGGGTAAAAGGTCCTGCTACACCTGCACACCGGGTAAAAGGTCCTGCTACACCTGCACACCCTGAGCTGCAACCCTTGGGTCACTGCAGCCACTTGACTCAGTGAACAGAGCAGGGAAAACGCAAATCTCAGTGAAGGACCATTAAATGACATCAGCATCTTGTATAATTTCCTTCTGTACCTCCCAATAGCAGATGATATTGAGAACTCTGCCTTAAATGTTACAGACCCCAATCCTTCTCAGTGCTGCAGTACAAAGCATCCTATTCTGCAGGCAAGTGTTCTCAGCACAGCCTCCCAAACCAGGCAGAGCTGATTTGCGTCCTAAATCTTCTCTTTTCAGTAAAAACACTTAGGAATGTTTTATGGGGTTTTTCTAAATCATTTTGAGATTTTTTTTTCCTACGCTACAAATATCCCATCCTGGTTTTACTGACTCTTAAACATGCTGTACATACCCCCTTATGCCACCTGGAGCTGTGAGACTAGACACAGGAATAAACATCAGTGACAAAATAGGAAATGCAGTCCAGAGAAAGGAAGGCAAAGACCTTTCAGTTAGAGATAGAACTCTAAATAAGAGTAAAAAATGGACTGTTCACTTCTACCTGCTTTGACCACAAGTCTCCAAAGCTCAACACTTATCAAATAATGCTCTTTTGTACTCAAAATCAAAAGTGAGTGCTAGAGGGATTGCAACACCCACTCAGCCTTGCTGACACAGAGAGGAGACATTTGCTAAGATCTTCAGAGGGTTTCCTAGTCCATTCATAATGCATCAAGCATATCTCATGTCTCACTGGTGCTTGAAATATCCAAGCATCAACCAGCAGCAAATCTTAGAGTAACTGTCAGAAAAAACAGATCATCCTCTAACTGCTGCAACCACAAGTGACCTCCTCCCTGTGGCATCAGTCCATGGGAAAGCAAAGGTGGTGACCTCTTACACTTGGCCTGATGCCCTTCACAAGGGATCAGGAACAGGCAAGTGTTTTCATAGGAGCACTCATGCATGGGGTGTTCTCAGAAGTACACACAGATACATCCACAATAACAAAGAGGTAAAAAACAATGGCCTTCAAAGGAGTGATTGCCCATGTTAGCAGGAAGTGGGTTAACCGAGGCACTTCAAAGCATATGAATCTGATTTTATTTACAGAAAACTCAGCCTTACCTCATGAATTTCTGCATGGTAAGGTGCTGGATCCCAGACAATTAAAATTCCAGTGTTATATAGCGCTTCCCTCAGGAACTGCTTCTCTTCAACAGTGACAAGCTTGAATGACAACAACAAACGCAATGATATACAGTATGTTGTCAGAATGAGTGGGCAGCCAAGCAGTAAAAGACACCTGAAAACAGTCACAGCCATGCCACTGTTGGTTACTGAGCATTCCCCACTGTGTGTAGAAAAAAAAAAAAAAAATAGGCCTGCAGGTGGGTGGTTTCTCCTGAGCAGCAGGAACTCCAGCAGCCAGGGCTCAGCTGTGAGACCACCAGTGGAGGAGATGAGAGACCATGGCACCCCTGTCCAACCCAGCCTCACACCAAGCTCTCTATGCTTCTCCAGAGCAGGGGAGTCCAACTTAGGCAAAGAAGGTTTGAATCATCTGAGAGCAGCAATGAGAAGGCAATCTTCAAACAGAGAAGTTCTCTCTATACTCTGGACACAACAACTGTTTGGTACACCTGAGGGTAACCCAGGTGTGCAGCACAAAGCAAACAATCAGAATTAAACAATTCATCTCCTGTCCTTCCCACCCAAAGCCATCATCTGTACAGGCACAGCTTGTAAACGCTGTAATCATAAATCATAATCATAGAAATCAGTTTCCATTTGTCCTGATTTTCTCCACAGATCTAATTATGAGCCAGCCAATTAGTCCTTCAGCATCCTGGCTGCCCCAGTAGCCTGCCTGGCTGTCCCCGTAACCAGAGCAAAAGGACACTCCAGCTAGCCCAGATATGATTTATTTCAAAAGTAAAAAGGGTTTCTTCGCATCTGTTCATAACTCTGCAGGATTAGAGCTTGGCCTTGACCACGTGTGCTGCCTGGCTTCCTTTCCTTACAGCAGCTAAAATATCTAGGCCGCTTGTGAGCTGGAGTGTGCAATGCTGCAGGTGTGAACATCTGCCTGCAGCCTGTGGAAACCAGAGGCAAGGAGGGGCACAGAGGTTGGTACCAGCCATCCCCTCAGCTGGGTACGAGCGGGATGCAGCACTGCAATGGGACAGTGATAGGGCAAGGAACATGGACACTTCATTTTCATTTTATTGTTTCTATTTAAAGACTAGAAATTTTTCAGGAACTTCTCTGATGCAGCACCCACGAAAGGAGGGTTTGAGAGACTGAGCATCAGAGAAAGCAAGGGTCAGCCAAGCAAAGCCATGTGAGTTGGCAGAGACACAGAGCGAGCTGCGATAGGCACAAAAGTAAAGGGATAAGAAACCAGGTGGGGAGAACCTCCACAGCCACAAGCTGTTTGCTGTGTCCTTCCTCACGCCCCATGGCTGGGTCTTGGGACTACTTATTAACTCTTGGTCACTTAACCCGTTTGCTGGGGGAATCTGGTTCCCCAGATACTTTAGTGCCTATTTGTTTTGTTTAATACTGATAGTGACTGATTCTTTCTGAGTAGTTAAATTCATTTAAATTGCTACATTATTTACTTGTCTTGCCCAGATTTTTGATCCTAATTAGTTAACTGATCTACTGATTTCCTAGTTAATTTGTTCTTCAGCCAGTTCACAGTTTAAGCAGTATCTTGCTAATACAGCCCCTACTCTCTTGGTACATTTATTGACGATATCACAATGATTTCCTTCTTTCTGGCTTCCACAGTCAATGTCCTGTAATCTAAACACGATCCCCTTTCCCATCACAATCTTCCCCCGTTCCACCGATGTGTTCTATCCTTTCTCTTCCTCCCTGCAGACTCATTAGTGCCAGAAACAGCACAGGCAGCCAAAGAAGAGAGTGCTCTCTGTGACAGCAAGAAGTCAGCCCTGGAGAACTGTAAACAAGAACTGGGAGGAACAAGGAACTCTGGTCCTTGGTCAGCTCTGCAGGAAAGAGCTGTGTCCTCCACAGTGACATTGGCACGCCCCTTGCACACACTTCAGCCCTTGTTTTTGCAAGATGTGCTGCTTTCCCAGGGCAAATCGATGCCTTGTGTAAGACTGCAGGAAAACAAGCCATGAAAGGCAGCACCGCTGATGAACCGGTCAAGGTCTAAGAAAAAAAGCAAGGCAATGTTGAATAAATTCTTTATTTAAAACAGCTACCAAACTTGTGGACCTACAAGCTTATCCTCAGATCTGGGGATCGCAATTGTCTCCCCCTCCTGCCAGTATCAAATCTATTAACCTTTCCCTACCCGCACAGATGTAAAAGATACCCCACTCTACTGTTATAACCATCCACCCTCAGATATGTAATGCAAATTACAGAAAAATACCCTAAAATAATTACTAAGCAACTTAGGGCCCCTGGCCACGCATGCCAAAGGGATGCTACTCAATACAGGCTAGTTCTGACAGATTAGATTCAGGAAATCCCATTTCCTTCATTTTGGGAATGGATTGATCAATAGTAAGAGCCAAAATAAAAGCAGCCAAGCCACAATCTCATTCCTTTTCCCAGAAAGGCCAAGAAATAACATAAGAAAAGCCAATCCCAGAACAAGAACAAACTACAGCTTCTCCAGCCAGTATGTGATGCCTGCAGGAGCTCTGGGCAAGGCCCAGTAACCTGAAAACAGAATGTGATCAGGCAACCCCACTCACAAGAAGGTTTAAATGATGTCACCAAGACTAGAACAGCACTGAACAGCACTAAAAGTGCGAATAAACCCATCAGAAAATCAGGCTTTCAATCCGGTGATCTCTGAAGATAACAGGGACTGCAATTAGAGATGGTCAGTTCATAAAGCCCAGACGAGAGGCTCCTGCACTACTCATATCTTTTGCCCTGGTCAGCAGCCAGATCTACGCTGCATTTTAACTTTCGCCTCTAAAAACTGCAACAATATTGTTCTCCCTATAACTGAATTTTTCTAAGCTGGTGCCTCCACTCGAGGGAATGTCACCCATGACTGCAGGCTGATCCACATGGAGAACAGAAATACTACAATGCCATGGCTATAACTACACTTGGTCCAAAGTAAGAGACTGCACATGAAGAGTCATATTAAGCTATACAACCACATGGATCCCCTCCTCCCTGTGCTGATAATTCTGATATCCCACAGGTCATGTACATGTTTTCTCTTCTTATCACTGTCAGTTTGGCAATGACCACAACCTCTAGGGAAAGTTTGCTTAAGTGATAACACCTATCTGACATTTGTATAAAAATACACACAGAAAGGAAAGATTAAAAAAAAAAAAGAGATGTCAAACAGGGCATAAGGAGGATGTGAGCAGCCAGATATGTCTTCTAAACCAGGCCGGTTCAGGAAGGACAAACTGTCCCACATCTAACTGGGGGTGTTAACACAAGGGCATCAAGATGCAGCAAGCAGCAGCACAGAGCACAGCAGGAAGTGGAGAAGGCAAGATCCAAGAGCAGAAAGAGGTGGCAACAGCATTCACAAGAGAAGCAAGAACAAAAAGGACACACAAAGTGAACTAGGCAAACACACTAGCTGCATGTCTTGCCTTTGGAACAGATGGCCAAGCTCCTGCTGCTGTTTTGAGAAACTTCAAACCTCATTACATAGCAGCTCCCATGGACTCCTCACACAGGAGCAGATGAGAAAACTTCCAGCCTAAAAATCTTACCTTTGGGGTAAGGAAAAAAACCCTGCCTTTTTGGTTCTGGATTACAAAAGCTATGTTTAAGCCCTTCATCTCTCCCTCTCCCAGCCCCTCAGTCTTCATGTGCCTACAACCTCCTCCTCCTCTTGCAGGGTGAGGAGGTGCTGCAGTGCCACAGCAGGTCTTTTACCAATGAGTACTGGCCTGTTCGGCATTTTACTACCTCACTCCATTACCTCACCAACACACACTACTGTGACTTTGTTTTCCCTCTGCATGTCTACACCTTAAAATTTCTCCCCCCAAAATGGGCAAACATGAAGGGTAACAGCTGTATGGAAGAAGGGTGCAAACACACTGAGATGTACCTACAGCAGCAAGGGTCTCCTTCTGCTCCTGAACGGGCCAATACACTGCTAGACACGCTTCTAACCCTGGAGAGTCTGCTTCACAGCCTACTGACAGCCAAAGGCAACCAGTAGAGGGACAGCCTCATACCTAGAAAGAGCTCTCACAAAGTTAGGGAAAATGTCATCATCACGGCCGGTCTTCGCGAACAAAGATTTGGGAAAGGTCTCTACCCACATTTGTTACAAGTGCACTGGAGATACAGGGCTTTGCAAATGCGGGTAAGGCCTTCGAGCCTGCGCAATGGATTTTTTAGGTGAGACACAGTGTGCGCTGAACTGAGCCCACCCTTTAATCCTAAGGTTCATCTGCTGGGGCTGAGTGAGCTTGGACGGTGGCAGCGAGGTCCTCAGGACGTAGGTTTGTTTAGGGTGACCTTCTCTTAGATGGACGGCCTTACAGGGCTGAACGAGCTCCATCTGCCCGGGTTTAGAGTTGTCCTTCTCTTCTGTGTGTTCCAGGGCTCCCCTCTCATCTCCCACGATGGCACTGTCCGCACAGGCGAAGCTCCCATTCTCTCGCTCCTTTCCGCGCCCGAGGCCAGGCCCCACCGCCCGGGGCGGGGCCGCACCGCCACGCACGCACCCGGGGCCGGCCGGGCCCGCACCGCAGGGAAAATGTAACTCCATAAGCAATGCCTTGCATTAAAAGCATTTTCTGCCATGCTCTGCAGTGAGATCCCGGACCCTCCGGCTCACCCATCAGAGCCCACCCCTCTCTTGGCTGTGCACAGACTACAGCTTTAAAGGTGTGTCCTCTGCCAAATGTCTTCAGCCATTTAGCAGCACTGGTTAATGTGTTATCTACAGAATCTGTGGCATTGCTAGGCAGTAAAGAAACACTGTTATTTTATTAAAAGCCAAATAAACTTCCTTCATTCTTCATACCCATCTCTGGGGCAAGCACAACTCCTCTCTCGGCAGACCTCTCTCTGCTGAGCTGCATTAGGTGAGCTGTGGTCCTGCTCCTGCCCCTTGCTCTGAAGGCAGAGCAGCAGCTTGCAGCTGGCCTTCCTGTGCTAACACAGAGGCTTCGAGCCAAGACAAAACCCAGATTACCTCGTGCCTGCTGTAAATTGCAAGCAGGATACTACAGGTTCCCTAGCATGAGCTAGGGTCACTCCAGTCACCTCAGATTTACCAACTGTCCCCCATTCCAAGGGGAAACATTCCCATCTTACAGCTGTCTGCTAGGGCCACGAGAAATCAGAGGGATGGCCCTGTTCCCCCAACTTCTTTTTAAAGACCTCCCAGCAGCAGATGAGCCCAGAAGTCCCCTGGATGCTGCTAGTTCAGCCTGCTGCTCAGCTCCCAGACAATGCAGCTCTGCCATGCTTAGCCCATTGGGCACATGTTGTTCAGACTCACCTGGGAATTCACAAGACGGATTGTTGTCTTCTGCCCCACGTCATCTTGAAAGCCCTTGATAGGAGCCCCATTGAACCGCAAGACAGCATCGTGGCTGTCTGAAAGCGAAACGCAGTGAAAACCTGTGAGCTAGCAACTGGTTTTTGAGTGACAGAGACACAACATGTTATCCACCTGTACTTCTAGTACAATCTGGCTAGTCCCTGGCTTTCCAAGTAACAACTGGAAGTAGCGAGCCAGATTCTTTGGAGGAAGCTGTGCCTCAAACTTCATGATCAACATACTTTAAAAACCCCCACTTTTTAAAACTACAACCCACTGGCAGGCTGAGAGCACAATTCCAGCATTTACTCTGCATGGAGGAGTACAGTATCTCCCTGCCTTTGCTTCCTTCCACTTTACCAGGAGACAGACAATTAATTTATCACGTGGCTGGCTGCATACTAAGGAAATGGAAAGTAATGGCAAGCCAGCAACCTCTCTTGCAGACTGGAGGTTGACCGGCCCGAAAAATCTGTATAATAGCCACAGTGGAAAGTGAAGCTGACCTTAGCCTGCCAGCACACCTCCCACATTACAGAAATAAATCCACTGCTGTGCATTTAAACAGGCACAGCTTGTTACATGCCTTGGGATTCACTGCATTTTCCTCCGCTGGCATCATCTCTTAAGATAGCACAGCATTCCTTCAGCACCCTCCTCTGCCTTGGCACAGCTGCTGTAACACCACAGAGCCAGGCTGCTGTGGCATGGAAGGTGCTCCTGCCCATCACCCTGACTTCTCCATGCCTTGTGGCTGGATTTGGATAGGAAATCTTTCACATTAGAGAAGCAGGACCAACTCCCCTGCCTTCACACTGAGGCCACATAACCACAGCTCACAGCACCTGCAGTCAGGGTCCCCGGGGAATTGCCAAGTTCCCAGGCAGGGCAGAAGGGCTCGCCTGGTCCAGAACCAGGTCTTTTTGAGATCATTTTCTTGAAAATAGGGGTGTTTTCATAAGCAATGCTGGAGGATCAGTAATTACTGTCAGCAAAGACTAGTTTCTCAGCTTCTTTATTCTCAAGAAGTGGATCTTTAAGAGCCCTTCCGAAGCAACACCCAAAACTGTGAAAGGTAATGTTTCAGGAAAAAAACATATCCATGCTGAGAAGTGCCTCTGTAGTTACCACGACAGACCCATAACTCCATGTCCTACCTTGCATCAATGCAATACAGGTTATAATTTCCCCCTAAAACTTCAGCCAGACACTAAGTATTATTATGCCCCGAGTTAACATTTTGAAAGGGTGTTTGGTGACAGCTCAGGCAGAGTAGCTGGTTGTCTCCAGGTGGTTGTGCTGCAGTTGGTATCTCTCATATCAGATTTTTCAGTAGCATCTTATAACCTCCAGTAACACCAAGAGCCCAGTAAAACACAAGCCAGTTGTTTACAAGCTTCTCCCTGTTCTGCTCTGCCAACCTTCCTTACAGTGACTAATTGCTCATTTGATATCTTAATGTGCTTACACAGAACACATATTTCCTGGAATAATAACTCAGCAATCCATTGTGCTCATCTACGCAAATGCTTAATTTTAAGCCTGTAAGATTTAGTACCTTTTTGACAACTTCCTCCAACAAAACCATGACTTTTCCTACTTGGAAATAAATCCAGCCAAAACTGTGAAAAAACCTTACATAAATACTCTGAATGCTCCTGAATCCTTAACATTCACCCTGCCCAGCTCAAGGCTGCAAGTGCCCCAAACTCTGCAGAAGCCCTTGCAGAGACAACCAAGCACAAAGGCGAGCCAGGCGTGAGGAACACAAGGCAGGAACACCAGCAGGGGTTAATGGATTTGCCTCAAGCACTACTCAGTGACCTCCCCAGCATCCATTCCTTGTGATCTGGAACAAACCAGTGCTTCAGCTCTGAGACAGGCTCAGGGACAGGCTGTAGGAACAATGAAATGGCTTTGCATGTCTGATGTCCGCTCAGCTGTGCCACAGCCAGAGCACTTGGCTGCTCTGGCACTGAATCCAGCACTGTATTGACTGCGCCTCAACACTCCATAAACATCACACTCACATCCTCAGAGGGTCTCCCCACAGGGGAGCAAGGAGTTCTATCAGTATCCTGGAGCCTAACAGAGACACCTTTGGACACAAGCCAGCTGTGTTGGGGAGGGTGTTCAACAGAAAGTCACTTCTGAGCAAACTTTTAGCTCCAAGAGGCACCCAAAAAAGCCAAGACTGGTACTCAAAGGAAAAGTCAGAATTGGTTTCCCACACCTTGACTCACATAGCCTCAAATGCGGGCAGAAACAATTACATCAACCAACTCCCACCTGCAACCTGAACCAGGAGGCAATGCTATTTTTCATTGCATTTTCAATAGCATTTTAACACACTTCCAGCTGTCCAGCCTCCCTCTAGCTCCTTTCCACCTGCTCTTTGGAGCACAGACAAGTTTGAGGGAGAACTTCTGAGCAAGTACCAGAACAAAACAGTGTCTCTCACATGAGCATCCAGAGACTATGATTGCCAAGTTGTCTGTGAAAAATGCATTAAAATCTCCCCACCTACTTGTTTCAGAAGATGAAGGCTACTTGCAGCTTAGTGCAGGCCAAAAGAATCTGATTCAACAGAAAACTTACGAATACACCAAAGCCTGCAAACAATTTCCACTTCAGAGAAAACTCCCAGGCTTTAAAACTTCTCCTTCAGCGAAGCTACAGTTCTGCAAAGTGAGAATCTTAACTGAGCTTCAAACAAAAAATAATGAAGCAAGCTTAGGGAACTGCAGGTACAATACCCCAAGGTGAAGGCTGAAGACCTGGTTTCCCCTTCATGCTGCTTTTGTAAAGACCCAAAATGCTTTGGTATCAAAACATGCTTCTGTATAATCCACAGTACAAGACCAATGTTTCAGCATTTATTAATGCATTAACTTCAGATAAATATGATCAGATAAGACTGCAAAGCATCACCAAACTTTGCCTAAAGAGATAAAACAAAGCCCTGTAAAGTCTTCTGGGCCATTCAAATTCAGCCACTGTCTTATGGCTCAGAATACAGTAGTGCCACCACCTTTGCAAAGCCTTGAGCAGAATTATAGCATCCTTGAGGCTGGAAGTGACCTCTGAAGACTGACTGTACCCAGCCCCTCTGCTCAACACACACTGTTCAGGGCTGTGTCCAGTGGTTTTTTTCCCCTTTGGTGTTTTCTTTTATTTCTTCTCTGACAAAATTTTTCTCAATGGAAGTTTTTCTGACCATTGACTGTTCAATGAGCATTACTCAACCCACTTCAAATCTTCTCAAAAAACTAACACTTGTGGAACCAAGACCTCTCTCTGGTATCCAGTATTAGTGCTATCCTCTAGTTATGCCAACACAATCATGACAATTGAAAGGACTAGCTTGAATAGAACTACCTATTATTCCCATCTCCTAGGCTGAAATGTTAACTGACTTTAGAAGAAGTTGAAAACAATATTTCAACTTATTCTAAACATCTTTTGACCACAACAGAGATTTATTGGTAAGAGCATGACAGTAGCTTACTTCTATTCAGCATAAGTTATAAAACAACGATATTTGGCTTTATGCTAACAGAAAGATACCAACCTATCTCTTGTCCCAGACGAGATGATTTCAGAGACCCAGCTGAGGACACGACAGCACAGCGACCCAGGTGGCCCACTGTTTCACTGAGGCTCTTCCCTGGTAGGTATTGTTGCCATTCAGAGGTACCAAAAGGACCATCTGACCCCTGTATCATGGTCACGTTGACCCTGTCCCGCAGCTGGCACAGCAGCTTCTCTGGGCTGAGTTTAGCAGTGTTCCTCTTCCCACTGTAAGTCACATTGTACTTGTTCATGGCCAGGTAGTTTTTTCTGACCTTCTGCAGCCTGGGTATAAGATTTTTGGATGAACTGTCCTTATCCCATACCTTCACAGAGGCTGCTGCTTTCTTGGACTTTTCCGCTGTTTCAGAGATGCTGCCTTTTGGTTTGTTTTGGGTACCAAGCCATGTTTTGGATACCTGACCCAACTCACCGGCTGCTTCGCGGAAGAGGCCTTGTGATTTAACAGTGTTCCATTTTTCTGTACTCCTGTGACCCTGCAAATCATCGTTCTCAATCTTGAAAGGATTGTAGTAGCTTCTTCTTGTCTCTTTCCACAGGCAAACTGTCAGTGCTACCAATATCACCACAAGAACACACATTAATTTTTTCAACACATTGATGTGAACCATAGTGTATGGTGCATCCAAATGGTCCACTGGAAGCTGGTCCTGCAAAAAGGAACGCAGCTCAGTCAGGGCTGCATATATATAAAGTCATAAATATCAGTGTGCAAGCAACAGGAGGGGAGAGGGACAACATAGTAATTCTAAAATTTCAAGCTGTTTAAAGATCTCATTTCAAAGTCCACCACCTCAAACACCAAAAAGAAAGACCTGAGCTGGCTATCAGCCATCACATGCTACGTAATGGTGATCTGAGGCCACTGCCACTCAAACCTTTTTTCTATTCCCTACCACAAGTGACAGCCAACGTTAACACCACCAGTATTATACTAGCAATGGGGTAAGTCTCCACTTTGCCTTCCTTCATCTTTCATCCCTGCCAGTCAATATCCAAATTACACCAAATGAATTGCCAGAAATGAGTTTTTTACTCGACCATAAGCTTGAACGCTAATAAACACATAATAAAGCATATAACTGGGGAAAAAAAAAGTCTGAGTTCATGAGCCCCAGGAGCTTCACCAGCCTGGTACTGACACATTTGGTAACTTCACAGGGAACTGCTGCAAGCCTCTGGTGGGCTGAGTGCACTTCCCAACATCAAACCTTAGTGAATAGCTGATGGGAGCCATTGAAGCCCCAGTAAGGTTTGAGGCATGTTTGGGCTCATAAACGCGCTTTGATAAACATTACTCCAGCAAAGTTACTTCTGGAGGAAGCAGAACCAGACTTTGTTGTACAGCACTGCCTTTCCTCTTCTGTGTTGCCTCACTCTAGCAGACACCTCCAGCTCCTACCATAAAAGGGGGAATCCAACAGGAGGACTGCCCAAAAGGTAGCTCAACCCAAGCAGCACAAGGGGTGGGTGTACGAAACATAGTGAGGCATAAACACCTCATGAGCAGCACAGAGGACCAGAGAAGGCAGGAGAGCAGTTGGCTGCCTCCAGCATGCATCCAAAAACACGGGAGCAGCACAGAGGCACAAGGTCCTCAGGAGACAAACACATGCAGGTCACCATTGCCATCCCAGAGAGGCAAAGGCGGCAACTTCCTCACTGAGCAACCTGCTGAAAGCAAACAGTGCTACACCGTGATGTTGAGATGTTACTGAGTTACCACCACAGTACCCGTGGAAAAAGCATCAGCTCTCCAACTCAAGTCATTTTTGGCTCTTGGCAGATTTTCTTCTGAGGGCTTAAGCAGAATATCCCAAAACACAACAGTTTTGTGGTGCACTGAAGAGTTCAAGAAACACCTGCAAAAAAAGAGGAAAAAAAGAAAATCTGTTAAGGAAGAGCCTCAGATTTCTAGGGATGAGCAAGTGTTTCCTCAGATAAGCCCTGTGGTCCCAAAAAAAGCTCTTACCGAGGCCTGGAAGGGCCAGCAGCAAACACATTAACACCACATAAGCCTTTTGTCCACTCAAAATGGACATCCTGCTCTCAGCTAAAGCAGGAACCAGTTCACAGACTGCCTGCTCTGTGGTTCCAACCAGACCAACAGCCTTCTCCCATGGAAAAGGCTCTGAGCAGTGGATACACCCATAATACATTAAAGGAAATAACTTGATTAATGCAGTGAACAGGGGAAAAGAAAGATAAAGCTAACTCTTCCCAGAGGAACATTCTACTGCCTATTTTTGAGCAATTCATGCACTCTTGCAGAGAAGACTCCTTGCTTTTCTGGAGCAAGACGTATGAAAGTTGTTTTATAACATGTATCTTAATCCATAAGTCTTCACAAAATAGATAAATCTACTTTAGACTTTACTACCAAGGAAATGCAGTAGGAGAAAGGAAGATTTCACAGTATTACAGAAAACAAGAAGTAGCTTGCTTTTGCAGGAACTCTGAGTCAGTACAATGCCACATAAGCTAAATTACAAACACTACCCTTCACAGACTAAATACTAAATTATTAAAGCATCCTAATGCTGACTATTTATATTTTAACTTTATTAAGGAACTCAAATTTTTTTTTTTATAGAGCACTCCACAATGAAAAAGCAAACATTGTTCTACCTCCAATTCTTAAACAACAACAACAAAAAGATTCAAGAAACATAAGTAATTCTAGCTTTTGTTGAAGTTATTTCCGCTGCCCTGACACGCTGTATAACTCCTCGTTTGTCTGAGTACAAATGTGCTAGAAAGGCACGTTGAAGCCTTTTTGGGCCAGTATGTTTCAGAGGCAGAGGTCCAGCAGTCTGGGGAAGGGGGGAATCAGGAGGGGATGCAGGATATCCTTGTGCTCTCTTCTGCAAGGAGTTAGCATGAGGTTCTCCATACTGTTTGTGGTTCCTCTTCTGCCATGGGCTCTGCAAGACACTCTCAGCCCTGCCTCCTGCCATGCCCTCCACAGCTGGGGACCTTGGAGGGCCAGTTCACTCGGGGGTCTGCCCGGTGCCATCCAGAACAGAAGGCACACAAAGGCAGGGACTGCAAAAGCCATTGGCTAATAGGGAAAGCACCACCGAGTCACCCTCATGCTGTCAGAGGCTCTGCAGGCAAACTACATGCACACAGCAACGTTTCCCAATGAGACACTGTCATGGTTTGAGATAGCCCCAAAATCCAATTCCCTAGCTCCATCCCCCCTCCCACATCTCAACCTAATGTGAGATGGGTTTTTCCAGACAAAACACAACCAGACTCAGAATGGGGGAAAGGGAATATATTACAATGACTGTACAAATAAATACTATAACACATTATACACACGATCACAACTACCTCTACCATGACATATAGTATTTACAATGGATCAGATCTCTTCTCCCCTCCAGATAAAAGTCCAGGAGGGAAAGAAGGACAGATCCCTTCCAGTCTCTCAGGGCAGCAGCTTCTTCAGAGTAGCAGAAGCAGTCTATCTCTCTCTCTCATGCATGCAGCTGTTGCTGGATCTCTGCCAGCACTCACGAGGGAGGTATCCAAGCTCCCTCGGCCCCGTCGCCAACCAACCGAGGGGTCTTCCCTGGGCTTCATAACCCCAGACAAGGTCGTTCCACCACGTCATATCACGAAGATGCAGGGGGTCTTCATGACAGTCTGGTATCTCCAGGAGATTCAAGCTCCTTGCAGGGCCTCTGTGCCCTGTCTCAGGCTGCCACCTTGGCAGCAGTGCGAGGGGGGAGCCAAGGTCACCCCCTCTGCATTCCTCTCCGTCCCGGTCCAGCTTCCCAGGACGCTCTGAGCTTCTCAGCTCTTCTCTCTCTCTCTCTCTGGTGCTGCATTGTCTCTGTTGCTCCGTCTTATCTCTTCTGGCTCTCTGCCACCACTTCTCCGGTCAGTGCCAGCTGCTGCTTTCTCCGGCCGCTGCCCAGTTTGGAGAAAACATCTCCCAGCTCACAGCTACAGACACATAGTCCAGCTTAACACTGTTCCAAGTCTCTGTAGCCCCCAACTGGGGCTGGGAGGCCCCAGAGGCCCTGAGGGGCTCCGAGTCCCTTTCCTCGTGGCTCCTACAACATGGCCACTTCTTCTAACAACCAAACTACAACTCATCTCTTCCGGTCTGGTTGTGGTATGTTTACATTTCTGCAGGAGCGCCCATTGGACAGGACTTCAAAACTTCCAGGGGTTTCCACCCCTTGGGGGTTACCACTTTTCTTAGCCTCTGGGGGAAAACAAGGTTCAAACCACTACAGATACACATGGAAATAGAGTTGTCCAGTGTCAGCTTAGTACAAGAGCCTGAGATACCTCCCTCATGCAGCCCCCAGCCTGTATTTGGTGAGGCTTCTAGGAAACTCAACCCAGAGCTTCTGTGCAGGCAGGACAGAGCATCGACACTGTAGGAGCTGCTCAGGTGTGTACCACCCTGCAGAGTGGAGCTCTCTGCTCCACGCCCTGGAGGGCCCTGCCCTGCTTTGGACTTCACAAACCTCTCCTGACAGGTTTCCAGGTGGAGGTGACAGCAGGCACAACTCAGCAACCATCCGCTTTGGCTTCCTACATTAGAATCATCTAGAAAGGTGGCAGGTTCATCGCAGTGAAACAACCTCACAGCTCACTGCAAGTTCCTGCTGGGACACTCCTCCCGCAGCTGCACAGGACAGGATGCCCAAGTCCCAATATCTCCTCTCCTTCCTGGGCCACACAGAGGAACCTGGAAAGCTCACCTTTGAGTCACTCCGTACAGGATGATCCCTACCTCTGATGACTGTGTGCTGCTGCAACGTGAACTTTGACGTATTGTTTGCTTTGATTTGCAAGCTGGCAAAGGAGGGTCTGCAAGCAAGAACACAGCAGAGCCACAATATTTCCTTCTGTTCCCCATGGATTCAGTTTAATTATTACTAATACTTCACATGATATGGTTTTATTTTATTGGCACAAGCAGTGCTCTAACGTCAGGTCCCTTTCAAGCATTCCACCACTAAACATCTTCTGTGGAGAGGAAAGGCACTTGCTCTTCCAGACAAAGCAGGATAGCCCACAAGTGGTGCTCTCTTTCCACACCTTTAGATAAGCCACTTGTGTGCAGTTGTGTATGGCAGCAGTCAGTACAAAGGTGCTTTTGTGGAGGTGATGGAAGCTTATCACCTACACAAAGCGTCAGCTATGAGTACAAGGAAAGAAAGGACAAAAAAAATTCCCAAACCTATAAAAAACCTTAAACAAATTGCTGCCTTTTTGAAACCCAGAGCCTGATGCAGCAATGTCACAGCAGAGAACACTCGGCAATCCCCATTTCACAGCAGATTTACCATAAAAATGCTAACAGAACTGTCTTTATCTCATAAACAAAAGGTTTATCAAGCCTTACCTATCTCCTATTGCGTCCAACAGCAGACACACAGAGAAACTACGACTATGGAACAAAGGTATGAATATATTTCTCTTCCAGTAAATGCGCACAGCTTCCCAAAAGTTGTGTCATCAGCTGTACCAATGTCCATCCTCTGCACATGTGTTTAATTAGTTCTTGAAAGCACTCATATTTCCCAAACAGCCCAAGGCAATGACCTCTGCAATGGCACACAGTGCAGACACAACCCCTCCTCTCTCCACCTCACACCAGAAAACCCAATCCCACTGACGGGAAACTCCTGCCTTCATTTTCCACACATCCTTCATGGTTGCACCACCTCTGCTAACACCCTCCATTGCGCACTCGTGGCTTTTTCAGACTGAATCCCACTTGTTCCAATCCCTCCTTGAACAGCAGTTTTTCCATACCTTGGACTCTCTCGGACAACTTCCCCAGCAGAACTAGCAGGACATGACCATCCCTCAAGGCAGGGACACCGGGACACCCCCGCTGGACATGCTCTCTGGACCACATGGTCCAGCCACAACACAACAACAGGGCTGCTTTGTTCTCCCTTGGAAACTTCCTCCTCTTCCATTTCCCTTCCTGACCACTCCTGAGCCCTGGTCTCTGTGCTGTCGCTGTCAGCAATGACTTCAGGATATTTTGCAAGCAGCAATGACTCAGAGTTGTCCCTGGTGCAGGATAGAGGGGAGGAGAGCATTATCTTATCCCTGCTGGCACAGGCCTCCTTTGCTGCTGTGCTGCCCAGCCACCCAGGAACAAGACCCCTCTGCAGCTGCTCCGTGTTTTGCCCGGTCCCAGCAGCCTCAAGGAGACAAAGTAAGCCAAACCTGTATCCCTACCCTTCCCTCCTCTCCTCTGCAGATCCATTACCACTGCTCAACAGCAGGGATCTCAGAGAAAATATCTGGGTGACTTCTGTGATGTAGTGAAAACTGACCACCTGCTTTCCGACCTTCCAAGGCAGTCACTAATCGAGGAGAGGGACTTTCTCATCCCACAACAGCTTATGGTGGCTTTTTACTGAGGTTCTTGGTGAGCAATTGCACCAAAACCTTGAAAATTCAAGGCTTCCCTCTCTCCATGTTCACCATCTTCTGAAAATGAGAAGAGGAAACAGGCAGACAGATTTGAAATGCAACTTCTGCAAACAGATGAGACCTCTTCATTCATTCTTAAAATATTTTACAGGTGTTAGTTATCATGACTGCTGGTCTGAAGTAATGAATCCCACCAGAGTCTTTCTGAAATGCAATCACGTCCAATAAAACCTTTAATTTAAGCAATGATTTGAGAGATACCCCTGGGGATGGGCATATGCAGCAATCACATCTACCTGGTCTACTGCACCTCTCCTTGGTCCTGCCACATTCATACATCAGCATCATTTACATGCAGTTTCTATGTGTCTGATCTATGCACAAAAGCTTTTTACTTTAGCAAGTTGTTCCTCAACCTTTTTTTAGATAACGTGATAAT